TTGAGACAGGTTTATACTTTTAATTTAGTAAGGTAGTTTTTACTAACAAGCTCTGAGGATTTATTTGGATCTCAGGGAAAGAGTTATTTCAAGAAGTTGATCCTTGTTGTGTTATTACCTAGACTCTCTAACTACTAATCTAACTAATCAATCCTTTCATATGGTGGTGTCTTTGCCCAGGCTGTTTCCTTAGCTGGCGACACTGCTTGTTCACCAGGCCCACTCTAATGCATTATCCAAGTCTTTGCTTAGATGATGTCTATGTAGGCTTTCCTAAGTGCTCTGGGCACACATGAAGGTCCTTCTAGTACATCAGCTGTTATATCTTTATTTCCATTGATATATGTCACATTATATGATAATAATTTGCTTGCATGTCTGTCTGTTTACTAGAAAGAATATGGATTGTTGCTTCCTGTCTCTATATCCCTAGTACTAGCATAGTGTCAATACCTGCATTGGTATCATTGTATTTTAGTTGACTCACTAAGTGACGAGGTAGATAGTTTATGTGTAAAGAAAAATTCCGAGAATCAACCTAAAGTATTTTTAAGATCAGAATACTTCATATGTCTAGATAAGTATTGTATAGTTGAAAAAGAACTTCTATTACCTTATTGATGTAAATAATGCTCTCTTTAACTAAGCTTATGTTATTATCAACATTCCAGTCCAGAGGGGTTAAGGGACTTGTCTATAATTGTTCAGATAATGAAACACAAGATTGACATACAATCTTCATCTCTAGCTTTAATGTCAGCATTTACGATATACATCACACTGTCTTTTTCTAAATTTCTACAGGCAACTACTACAGCTGCTCCTTCACATTTGTAATTAGTTGCTCACTATGCTGGGAGCATGCCAAGGATGGATCCCATCTCCATACCTTTTCAATCTATATGGGGGACAGATCATTCAGGTGGCTGGGCTCTGTGAGGAAGAATGTGGCATCAGGATTGGAGAAAGATCATCAACAACCTGTGTTATGCAGATGACACAACCTTGCTTGCAGAAACTGAGGAGGACTGATGTGTTTGTTGCAGAACATCAAAGACTGCAGCCTTCAATATGGCTTGAAGCTCAACATCAAGGAAACAAAGATTCTCAGCACTGGGCCAATTGGTAGTATCATGATAGAAGGTAAAGAGATTGAAATGATTAACAGCTTCACCTTACTTGACTCCACAATCAACACTCTTGGTACAAGCAGCCAGGAAATAAAAAGATAATTTGCATTGGGGAAAATCTGCCATTAGGGACCTCTCCAGAGTACTGAAGAGTAATGATGTAAGTCTGGAGACCAAGGTGTGCCTGATCCAGGCCATGATCTTTGCAACTACTTGCTATGCATTAGAGAGCTAGACAATGACTAAAGATAATAGAAGAAGAAACAATGCCTTTAAGTTGCAGCACTAGAGAAGAACATTGAATATATACTGTGGACTGTTAGGAGAATCAACAGATCTGATTTGGAGAGGGTGAAATCAGGCTGCTCTTTGGAGGCAAGGATTTGAAAGCTCCATCTCATATACTTTGGGCATGTTGCAAGAAGGGACCAGTCCTTGGAGAGGGACATCATGCTTGGAAGGGTAGGGGGACAACATAAGAGAGGAAGACTCTAAAAAAAAAAGGAGATAGAGAGAGGAAGACTCTGGTTAAGATGGATTAACTCAGTGACTGCAGTAATGGAGGTAGATGTATCAGAGACAATGAAATTGCCTCAAGATAGAATAGGATTCAGATCTGTGGTACATGGAGTCGCTTATGACTGTGAGTCGACTTGACAGCACATAACAACAACATGCTGGGAGTGGGGAACTTTGAGGTGTTAACCTGGCTCCCATTGCACAGAAGAGAAAAGTGAGATTCAAAGTTTGCTATTTGACTGTTAATGTGTTTAATTCTCACACACGCTCTGAGAACAGTTGTGACATTCATATTTTTTCCTTGAGGAAAACTGAGGATGAGGAAACTTAGACTTATGAAGATGACTGATTTATCTAAGGACAGTCAGCAAATAGCCGGGCCAGAATTTGAACTTGTCCCATTTAATTTCAACCCAATGCTGAGAACTCTTAAGTATTTGGAAATGAAGAAAGACTTTCATATATGAATCTTTTCACATTCCATTTATTTGGAATATGATTATGTTGGAACTTTGCTCCAATCCTCTGGGGTTAAGAAAGATCTTAAGATGAAAGATGTCTCATAAATGCTAAGTCTTGTGTTGTGTTGAGGGCTTGTAAGAAAGAGATGCTCAGTTTATAGGTGAAAAAAAGAATTAATGCTCTTGACTGCCAGAAGGACTCTGCTGAGAAGGGGAAGAGAACAACCAATATGTTTACACAATGATCTGATTGCAAACGTCACCGAGAATGAAATAACTTTGCAGTACTCTGAAAGAAGGCAAAACCCTGAGTGCAACTTAAATGAAAGGAACATGATACTTGGACCAATGTGAATTTAAAAAGAGAAAAGGATGATTCAGCCAAGCTGTCTTGGTAAGTGGCTGCTTCATCTCGCCTAAATGAAGAGGGTTTATCTGGCCTCTCTTCTCTCCTAAGGATGTGCCATCAGGGTGCTCAGAAATAGTTTTCCTACACCCTGAAAATGAAAGCATAAAGAAAAAAAAATCATTCTTTTAAAAATTTTTTTACTGTGAATTAAATGGTTTATAGAAAAATGATCTTATAATAAAAAATACATTCACATTTTGACTGGTGACATTACAATCCTCACTCTAATAGCACTCTATTTCCTCTGTGTGTTTCCTGTGCCTATCCCTTATTTTGTCCTATGCATATCTGCCTTCTGAGCTTTCTCCTTGGGATAATGCTGCCTCTTTGATCTTGAGTGGCTGATTGTTCTAAGGAGTGTATTCATCACCTTTTAGGTCTATCTGTTGGTCCAGCTGTACCAAAGTTATAGAAACTTACTTACAGATCACTTTATCATGCATATACTGTTTTCATGCGTGTTATTTATCACAGTTAATCCTCATGAACATGCTGTGAAAGAGAAGACGCATAAGGGTTATAGTCACCTTGTATTTCAGAGAAGGGCAAATAACATGGGCTATGAAACAGTCAGTTGACAGAAATTTTCACAGTATGTTTCCTTTAAGTATCATCAATTTTCTGTTAAGTGAAAAACACTGCCTGCATTTAGCATGAGCAAAACAAAGCTGAGAGAGGTGAGGTGAGCTATCCAAAGCCATGATCTCAGCAGAGCTAGGATTTCAGCTCAAGTTACAGAGATTCAGTGATGGAGCTAAAACCAGAACTCTGACTCTTTTCTGATTGTCTTTCTTGTTATATCATATTGCTCATTTTCTAGTAATCTAAGAAGATCATCAGGTAATGTCAGCTCTAAATGAACTTCATGCTCATCCTTGAAATGCAAGTGAAGTTCCAAAGGGATGACGTAAATGGCATGAGAAAAGGGGATGTTTCCATCCATATTTTGTACTAAAAAGCTGAGAGGTTTGTGGATAGGTCAGTTTAAGAGCCTCGGCGTCTGTCTCGCTCTTTTCTAGCAGCTATTTTGTGAGAACAACTTCTTACTCCCTTGCAATCTGCTATCTATCTACTAACAAAGATGGGTCTTGTACTTAACTCACTCTCTTGAAAGTAATCAGTTACTTCTAAACTTTCATTAAAATAAATTTAAAATAATAAAAAACAATCAGTTACTTCTAACATCAAGTAATAGAAGATCACCAGCCCAGCTGAAATTTAGTTTGGAATCCAATACAACTTAACACTAGTTTCTTTGCCGACCAACAGGCTGCACAGCTTTGTTGGTAGGAACCCATCAGTGACTCTGTGGGACAAAGAGAGGCAGTTTCTACTGGTTAAGATTTAAGCCTCAGAAATGATGGCAGGTCTCTGAGTCTGAAGTGACTAAACGGTAGTGAAGATCTTACAGATAAGGAAAGCCAGACCAGAGGGAGGGAGGGAGCATAGATTTTGTCCAGGGGTTAGACAAGGCTTCCGAGGTGAAGTCTGGGGATTTGGCCTGAATCCCTTTGCGGCTGTTTCCTCATTTGTTTAGTGGCAATGTTGTGCACTAGCACAAGCTGCTGGGCAAGGATTAGAGGAGATAATGTTTTGGACAGCGCCTCTCCTAGACAACTGTCCTGTAAACTCAAAAAGAAAAAGAGGAGAAAAGAAAA